ACCGCGGCTCGCTCTACCGTTCTCGCTCGCACGCCGTGACGTCACGCGATTCCCGGAATCCCGTGGCCACGAGATTGCTCATTACGATAAGGTAAGGCATTCCCGCAACGGCCATATCAAAACAAAAATTCGCGTTATATCGTATAAAGTGAAGGAATAATTAGAAACAATGAAGAATAATGAATAAATTAATGATTATAAATTATAACCTACATGTTACCTAGCAAATCATTCTTTTTTATAAACACGAATAGTAATGTAATTCATCGTAAAATCATATTGAATACGTTTTTCTGTTTAAAGATCAAAGACTCACGATCGCAGTGAGCAAATTCACTCAAGATAAAAAAATCGCAATCACGGTCGTGAATGAAGTTAAATCACGACCGTGATCGTGATTCTGCGATCACTGTGATAAATCACCGATAGTGATTTTGCACGCCATCTCTAGTAACAAGTGAGAGGACGAGTGTGAGACAACCACCTATCCACTACCACTCACCCCGATGCACCCCGACGTTTCGCGAAGGATTAATGGAGAGTGGGGATGAGGAATTCCCAAAGGTTAATCGTTACAGGTATTGGGCATGGGCAATTACGCACGATCTGATTTTGACGTAGGCCGAGTTTAATTGTTTTCGCCGGTTAAAAGAGTTAAAGCTTCCACGATGAATCCAAACACCTGGTACCGCCATGATATACACAAAGCCAGATCAATGAGCTGGTTCATCCAGCCTGGATGTGAAAAATACAATTTTTCAGCAGTACATTTAAGTCACTTAAAATGTATTTTACAGTACATATTTATTTTATTACAATCATGATGTATCTATCGAAAATCAGATAAAATATGAAATATACGAGCACACAAACTTCTATCAGCTGCAGATTGGAAGAGGAAATAGTCGTTCTTAATTAAAATACGTCAGTTACTATGTTTATTCAATAAATATAATATTACATCGTAACATAAGGAATATCCTGGTGTGGTGGTGTTGTAATTTTGCAAATATATCTCTATACACGCCCGGGCACACACACACACACGCGCGCATGCACGTACAGCGGTAGTGTATGTACACGTGTATACATATACCATTCTTTAATATAGATCTTTCTTCTCTAAAGACAGCACAAAACACATAGTATGGTACAATATTGTTACAAGGACAGTCATGGGTTTCCAGCAATCTTCTCAACTGTTCTAATATGGTTCCTAGCTGACGTCATGTATTTAAAGTAGTATTTCACTCTCCTTGTCATTTTTCTGTTCCTGCACCTTGTACTTTTAAGTTCAACACTCTTTTTTCATCGCTCAACAGCCTTAATGTATCAACAAAATACCTTCTTCCATCTATCAAGAATGAAAAAAGTGTCACAAAGGGTTATAATTACAGTCAATTATCCTAAACTTTAGCGAAAAACGGTATCAGAATAAAGTATACACTTTCATGAAGTAAAAAAAAAGAAAGGAGAGAAAAAACAGTCCATCCACTGTGACCAGACAAACACGCTACCTGCATGTTTGCGTAGAATTTTCTACCCAGCTTCTAAAAACATGACTCAGCTCGCATGGAAACTGTACGACGCTTTTTCCTCCTTCCCAGCTAATTAATCTAGTATTTACACGAGCCTGTCGTACAGAGGAACGCTTGATCGAACCTTCGCCGTTTCTCTGCGGCTGGATACGCTTGGCAGAAGTAAAAAATAGGTACTTTCCAGCTGGCTGGAGCGGCCAGCCTTGATTCGAACTAAACTGTGTGTCCCCGCTAGAGTTGGAAGAACGTTGAGACTAACCATCCCCTCCTACATGTGTGTGATGGTTTCTATCTTTGCGTTGGGTCAGAAAGAGAGAGTCCACACGAGTAAAATGTTTCACATACGAAAATAGGTGTATAACATTTACATTTTATCCTCCTATCACAATATACTGTCTAAGATAAAGTCCTGGCTTGATATGTACAATATGTTTATACACGTATATATATATATATATATAATATATAATCTACAGGATGGTCCATTTCACTTGATCCAATGTGTACTTTCTTCAGACAGATGATAGGTGTTCGATGGGTGAATAGAGATTAGAATGTTCTAGGATCTTAGAGGTTAGAGCCTCTTTCCTAGTAAAAAAAAAAAAAAAAGGAATCAGTCAAATAATCAGATCTTTGTGTACGGGGAGAACGACATTGGTTGATCAAGTTTAATGATCCATTCTGTACAAATCCACGTGGTTTGCTGTCCTCGACTACCTCCATTGAACGAACTCGCTAACTTTGTACAGATTAAGGGCCTGTAACGCACTTAGATCATTTTGATTTTGTCAGTTTATCTGACGCTGAGTCCTCCGAAGCCCGATTTCCACTGTGGTCGGATGTTTTATCCAGAGTGGAGTTTAAACTTTCAAGGTGTACAGAAATGTTTTCACAATTAGCCGACGAAAGGGAATTTGATGGGGCAAGAGACAAGCAGCGCATGAAGTTGGAGAACAGCAAGAGTAGAGGTTTCTCTTCTCTACAAGACTCTCTCTTTCTACCAGGCTCCCTAATCGTTGTCCTCAATCTAGGAAAAGTCAACTAAAAGAAGGGAGCAATAGAGTACAGTAGCCTGTTGTATGTACACTGGTTGCTGACGGGACGCTGACTAAAGCGTCTGCTATTTACATATATGCTCCTCCAGCTTTTTCTTTTAAAGTCAGAGGTAGCGCCTAAAGTAAGAAAGAACCCCCCAGAGTGATTCAATGATCAGCCAGATGAAATACAGCAGTGTCTCTTTCTACCCCAAGAGACGATCAACTTCTAGATCAGCTTGGCAATACTTGAAATAGTTCTCGGTGGCATCAGCCGCCCCGAGAAGAAGCCTTATGATCATTGAACAAAGTTCACGTTGAACGTCTCCACTCCCATCGCCTGCAAGCTAACTTCTTGCAGACCATCCTTCAATCTCTCTCTGGTCTGAGTGCCGGTCAAGGTGGTCTGGGTGACGTTCAATTTGGGCAGCTTGAAGAACGACGTCCCCTGTGGTATCTTATCGGTTAGGGGACAATGTTTCAAGGCTACGTCCACACCTACGGAGCAACTGTAGCCCTGTTTGTGTAGCACCATTAGGGCACTGTTCACAGGAAAGTTTGGCAGTTTCTGATCGTGATTGGTCCTCAGGTTCAAAAGATGAAGGTCGCATGGGAAACTCTGGCTGAGAAGCCGGATCTCTGGTGCCATGGTGATCTCCGACTCTGTCCCATCGACCACAAAGATATTCACTGGATAATTCAGAGCATTACTTAGGTGGTTGGCGAACAGGGATGGCCTAGAGTGTTTGTCCTTTTCCCCTGTGATATCTTCTAGAAGCAACCAATGCTTGATGACAGTTCGACGATTGTCCAGCAGACCCTCGCCCATTCCTCGAGAATCATCGTACAGGGTTCTTCGATCCAGCATTACCTCCAGCCATCCAGGCTGGTAACTGGCTGCTCCTTGGCAGTGGTTCACCACAAGGGTCAGCCTGTGACTGGTGTCCTCGATGTAGGCCATGGTGGTGATAGGGAAATAGTTACCCTCGATCCCTATCCTCTCTATCTTCGTCCTCTTGATCATCTGATGTCCATTCAGATCTGTGTAGAACTCCGGCGGATCTCCATTCAGGATATCAGTCTGTAGACGCATGAACATCTCTGTTTCCCTATTCTTTGGCGGTGTCTCGAAGTCCACAATGTTCCTGAGGTATATCGCCTCGCCCAGGCCACCGTCCCTATGATAGATCGCCACGTGGTGGGTCAACAGCTTGCCGTACTCGACGGTCAACCGAGAACTGAGGATTCCACTAACTATATAGATCTTCTGATGAGGTGTGTACGCCTCCAGGACATCTTTGTCGGTGTCCCGAAGATTTGGATCAGGCATAAATAAGTAAGCACCGCTGTGGAATTGGGCGGACGTGTAGGCAGCGAACTGGATGGCACATTGCATGATCTTGCCAGTTGCCTTTTTGGTCACCCTCTTCAGAAATCCTGTCTGACCATCGAAGAGGAGCTTCATCCGCTGGTTCTCCAGCTGAACATCACCTACTTGCAAGGGTTTGATGGGGAACAAGGTGTCCTTGCCGCATCTGCTACAATAGACGGTGGAAATCGCTTCTACTGGGACCTTGTCAATCTGCTGGAGGTGATAGGTGGCTATGGCTAAAGGCTTTAGCTCCACCACGAAGAGAAGGACGTAGACGTCATGGGTGATGCTTGTGGCGTTCATCACTGGTGCTATCTGATAGGGGATGGGGTTCTTTTGAGGATCGAGGACTCTTATTCTATACGATGTTACTTTCAGACTGATCACCTCTTGCCTGGGTTGGGCCAGAGGATTGAACAGAACGATCTTTTTCGTTTCCTGGTTGTTCACCCCTATTGGTATCTTCTTGGGCAGTTTCTCGTAACTGTCCCTATCCGATTCAGCTAGGACGTATACTGAATTTGGTTTACTGGTGGTGCCAGCTAGCGACTGAATGACGAAGCTCTGGAGACTGGTGGTGTCTGAGATCGACTCGAACAGCTTCAGGGCGTAGTCCTTCATGACGAACGACTTGGACGTGCCTGTGATAGCGTCGTGATGCTGGAACAGGCCCAGATTCCGTCTGGCTTTCACCAGCTTCTCGAAATAGGTCTCGTACAGCATGAAGTCCTTGCCAGACTGTTTCGCCACGTTCAACGCTATCGTGTACAAGATCTCGGCGGATCGTAGATTCGCCTCGAGTTCACGGTCCAAGATCTTCATGTACGGTCTGGTGGTGAAGTAACCGCTCCAGTAGGCTGGTCTACCCTCGCTGAAGATGTCCGAATAGACAAAGAAGTCACCCTTCAACGTGGGGAACGTCTCCACGCGTTTTCTGATCTCACGGAAGTAATCCTTTGGCGTTCCAAAGACAATCTCAGCGTTGTACTCTTCCTTACGGCTGTTTATGTAGTCCATCAGGATCTTGTAGTTCGTGTACTGTTGGTCCCATTCGACTGCGTGGTCGTATCTAAAAATATATATAAAAATATAAGCTGGAAGCAACAAGTGGGGAGGATACCTAATCTCAAACTAAACTAAATCTAAGGCCACTAACTTGGTGACTACGCACAGTGTGGTATTTTCCCACTCCAGCTAAAGGGTATAGCAGAATAAGGTGGTCAAAAGTGCCCTAAGACCGATTTGGACTTCCTATTCCTATTTTCCTGTATATTCTGAAAACGATAGTAGATGGCAAAAAACTGTTGCAATGAAAATTTAATGGCTCTTCATGCTTTATAGAAGTGTACTATGAAATTGTAAAAAATTTATTTTTTAAATAAACAATTTAAATAAATAAACAAATTTTCAACAATTTTATTACACATTGTTGCAGAGCATAAGAATACATTAAACTTTCATCCCAACTGTTTTTTAGTATCTACTCTAGTTTTCAAGATAATACCATGAATGTAGTTCAGCTAGATTGATAAAATACCACACTCTGTCGTATCTCTGTTTGCAGGAAATCGAGTTATCCTTACCTGAAGTCGTCGCCCAGGGGCATCAGCACGACGTTATGAGTGAACAACGATCCAGTGCGGGAGTATTGTTCTAACAGCAGCTCGGCCATCTGTTTCACGTTGTTCGGCGTGATCTCGACCGCCCGTACCGAGTACTCTGTGTATTCGCCCCGTATCTTACGGAAGTCGAAGTTCAGGCATACGTGGGGATGGGGGCCGCACGAGTGTTTGATGTTGTAGATGTCGAACGGCTGATTGTGGGTGAGCATATCCGCGTCCCCCGTTTGATCCCAGGGCTGCAGCCAGACGAAGTCACCGTACTGTTTCTTCGCGAACCATTGCTTCCACGCGTAATGGATCCGTTGGATCACGGTACCCGATGCGCCAGAGGCCTTCAGGAAATAGGGTATCGTTCCACCGTGACCGAACGGATCGACCGACCAGCCAGACTCCGGGACCACGTCCAGGTTGGTCTTCAACCACTGGTGACCTGGATTCAGTGCAATACAATTGCCCTTGAACAATGCTATTCGTCTGTTACAAAACCGCGACGAGAAATAGAATGAAATTTATAGAGGGTGAGGGGCACCTGAACACAGTAAATCCTCGACGAGGACACTGCGCTAAACCTGATAAAAATGTCACCGCTGCACCCGGGGACCTAAGAATCGACGATTTACTGTATTTTTTTTAGGTAAATGAACAATGCTATTCGTCTGTTACAAAACCGCGACGAGAAATAGAATGAAATTTATAGAGGGTGACGGGCACCTGAACACAGTAAATCCTCGACGAGGACACTGCGCTAAACCTGATAAAAATGACAGCGCTGCACCCGGGGACCTGCGAACACTCATCGACGATTTACTGTATTTTTTTAGGTAAAAATACGGATGATTTAGGATGGATCTAGATCTGGTTGTATGGTCTGAGGGAGGAAAGCATCCCAGCAAATATTGACAAAAATCTTTTTTTGGAGAAGCCTTTAAACACTCATTGAGGATTTACTGTACTTTTTTTAGGTAACAATCTGGATGATTTAGGATGGATCTAAGATCTGGTTGTATGGTCTGAGGGAGGAAAGTATCCCAGCAAATATTGACAAAAATCTTTTTTTGGAGGAGCCTTTGAACACTCATTGAGGATTTACTGTATTTTTTTTACGTAACAATCTGGATGATTTAGGATGGATATAAGATCTGGTTGTATGGTCTGAGGGAGGAAAGTATCCCAGCAAATATTGACAAAAATCTTTTTTTGGAGGAGCCTTCGAACACTCATTGAGGATTTACTGTATCTCGACTGTTATTGGTGATAAGAACAATGCAAGTTTAGTCTGACACATTTCTTATTATTACCAGTAACAGTCGAGATATTCTAATGGCCTGCTTTAGCTGCCTCAATCTGTATTTTTAATTGTCTCGATTGTGGTTAGTTTCTATTGTCCCTCAAAATACTTCCAGTGGAAACGTTCCATTCCATGGAATTGTGTTTCTTTTCGGTGGGGCTTAGTGAACACGCTCTGATAAACCTTTCCTGGCGTTTCCATTAAGAAAGCGATACGACGTGAACAGGGGGTTCCCTCGTTAAGCTTCAGGGTGGAGTTGCTTCCTTTGAGGTTGCTCGTGATATCGTTGGGATATATTTAAACATTCTGAGGATGTTCATTTAAACAGTCATGGTTGAAGAGATAACAAACCTGAATACTAATATACTCCCTCCAGAAATCTGTGCTTCCAACTATTCAGAAAAATGCACGCAAAAACGTTGGATTCGACGGAATCATGGATTCCCTCATAATTTATTCTCGACCAATCCCACTCGAATAGCAAAAAACCTTGTCCACCCGGTATGTTACGATGACCAGGCGATAAATCGTCGACGGAGAAACCGAAACGCAGTCTCGATCCTGTGGTAACGTATCTGGATTAACTCCCCGGCTGTTGCACAGGGTCAAACGGGGGGGGGGGGGGTTGTCTGGTCGGCGAGGAATGCTTTGGCGTAGGGTGAGAACTGATAAATACGCATCGATTAGGGGCCAGGTCCGTTCCGACCACGTATCGAAAACTAGATTCCGTCGTCAGAGGTCCTGGATGAAGTACTGCCACACTCTAGTCCTATCTGTTTCGATACTACTAGGCCTGAAGTTTGTTCTAAATAATAGTATCTAACACAAACCTAATTGTGATTCGATATAAAACGAAACCTAGTAATAACCTGGATGTAGGCCTATCACGGATTCCACCAAAGCTATACCTTGGATTTAACTTGGAAGCAAACCGATACCTGAGACGTCCAAAGCCATTTTTCCGAACGATCCCATACCCTAACCCCGCAGAATCGATTACACCGATTTCCCAGGTTCGTTCGATTGGAAGAGCTGTAAATTTATGGGGCATAAATTCGTTGCAAGGACGTTAAGCGGACGTCGGGTTGCGTCTTATCGGCGTTCCTCTGGGTGACCCAAATGTGTCCCCTTCGCGATGCCCCAATTTCTCGGGCGTTCTCCCTTGCCCATTGCGTCACGGTATATCTACGACATTTATCTTCCAAGGGTGGAAAGAGTTTCGTGACGTTCCCACCTCGGAATTTCAGGCTGGGAGACTTCGAACTGACGAAGAACAGGGAAAAGTTTACGGGGCAGGGAAGGGGGGATGATCTGGCGTTTCCACGGGAACCAAGGGGGATCGATTCGGTTCCCCGCGCGTGAACGCAAATCCAACGCGGGGGGAGAGAAACCGTTTCGCTTTGGTCCTGGGTAACTACGGGGGTTGCGTCCGCGACAATCGTGTTAACCGGGAGCGCTACCATTTGCCCCGACAGCGAACATAGTCTCTGGACCACGGGGATCATGTACGATTATGGTGTTAACAGGTCCTGGAGATTCCGATTTTTTATTAAAACTTCGAGGGCTTGTAGGGACCCCTCATAGAAGCATCAAGCAATTTTTCGTTTCTGCTGATATTCGGTAGTTGGAGGTGAAACCATCCCCTAAATGTCGATATGTCCTTTTCTATTTTTCTATATACTTCAGAAACCATAGTAAGTATTAAAAAACTGTTAAAACGAAAATTTAACGGCTCTTTATGCTCTATAGAAGTGTGCAATGAAATTGTTAAGAAATTGTTTTTTATATGAACAAATTTTTAACAATTTCATTACATATTTTTGCAGAGCATAAGAATTCATTGGATAGTTTTTTAATAGCTAGTATAGGTTTCAAGCATTACAGGAAAATGGAAAAGGACACATTAACCTTTAAGGGGTGGTTGCCCCCTCAAGGATCGGATATCAGCAGAAACGAAGAATTGCCTGATTCTTTTATCGAGGCCCCTCACAAATCTACGGAGTTTAAAAAGTAATCAGAATGTTCGGAATAGTAACGAAGTTCCCTTGCCAGTGTACCAATATACAGGGTGGGTCGCCACATTTTGCCATCTAGATTTACGTCATTATTATTACGCATAGCAAACAATGTTTCAGATTAAGTTGAATGGTTTTGAGAGGGGCACATTCTGATGGTACATTTTTTTTGTAGGTGGACGTGTAAAGGACATATGAAGGTCATTAATGTTATTTTAAATGGAATCATATATTTTTTATTGCATCAGCTGATGCTCCTTCATATTCTTTACAAAAAAGTATTAATCTATTTGTGTAAAAAAATCATTAATGTATGTAAATGGATCCTCTATTGCTCTTCGATTACGTCATACCTTAAATTAAGAATGTGCACTTCATATAAATGAGGAAACAGATCCTTGACTACCACCGGAATGAATACCAATTTCGACGAAATTATACAAGGTGTTCAATTTATCTGGACCACAAACTTTAAGACTTTTCTATCCCGCAGACTTTTTAGGATTTTCGAGTTTATTAATGGGTTGGCGAGGTCATTTTCAACCCCTAGGAATGGAATGCACCATGGACGACCAGACAGTTCTTGGGGCGGCTGAGTGTCCTTCGCATTTCCGAATTCCGACGTGCTCGAAATCGTTCGAAGGCGCGCTCAAACGTGAACGTCCACCGCCCGCAATCGAGGAGCCATCGGCGGTCTAGGACCACGGAAATTGCGTCAATTATTCGAGGAAGGCGGACCCGCAAATTGCGCGTTCCGTGCTTGTCCAGGCTCCGCGCGTTATTGCAGACGTTCCAAGGGTGAGTGGGTGGATGGGTGGCGTTTTCATCGCGGGAAGAATATTGGAGAAACGTGGAAATAATCGGAACTGGTGGATTCCTCGTCGAGAAATGAGTCGAAACGACGGAGAGCAGTTTCATCGTACGTGGTTTCGTTTTCGAGAAAAACGTAGTCGAATTTTAGGGGTGGGGTGAGGGTACAATTGCCTAAAAATAATATGTTGAAAATTAGACCTTGTAAAAAATAGTACAGCAAGGTTTATCCACGTTTTTCTTAATCATTAATACGAAGATCCACCCCATGAGAAATTTTTAATATTTCATTGGGGGTTGTGTTGGGGGTTGAAAAATGTGCAGTTCAATATCTCGAGATATCGAACGCCTCGGGGTGAATAGATGATACGGTGGGATTAATAGGGATGGAAAGGGCAAGAAATAGGGTCTTGGTGGAAGGGGGTGGTGGACTTAGGGGTGTGGAGGGTGAGAGCGACGAAAGGGTGTGGCGTGGCCTAATACGAGCGAACAAACCATTAAACTACACTCAGCCGGTGCTCGACTGATTATAACTCATTAGACACGACATGTGTGCATTAAGCGAGTTATCGCGCACGTAGTACAACCCCACACCCCCTCCCGCCGCGATCGAGGGGGATGAAGCTGGGGCTGATGCGCGGCGAAAGCATCTCTGAAAGCTCGGGGAAAGCTGGAATGGACGAAGAGTTCGTGGAAGTTGCCCGCTAAAGCCCTCGGAGTGATTCTACCATTCTGTTCTAGAATTTATTATCGTTTTATGTGAAACCACCACCCCTGAAATTCTCCATTTCCGAAGAAAGAAATAAAAAATATTTGATTTCCTCAGATTCTAATTGAATATTTTAGGAAACTTAATGCGCCATTATTAGTCAGATAAACATTGTAAGTACAGTGATTTTGTCTCACCCTGTATACTAGAACCACCCTTAAATTTCTATCGAAATGTTTGTGGCAAATGATTTGAGTCAATAGCAATTGTTACAAGTGATTCGAGTCAACAATAACATCTACAAGTGATTCGAATTAATAATAATATCACCAAGGCATGTGACGATTACGAAGATATTCAATGGGAACAACAAGAATGAAACATTTAATAAATTTATAATAACTTAATAATTAAACAACAAATTTACCGAGTCGTTCAAAAGAACGTGGCGCAAGTGAAACATTCGTGGATCGAGGTTTCGATACTCGTTTGAAAGTTGATAGGGAGTGGCGAAAAACGATACGGCAATTAAATGTTCACCGTCCTGTTTGTCTGATCATAAAACGCCCCGTTCCACTGGCGCGAGACTGACGCAATACGCGTCGCGACTACTTCCCCTCGGTTCGATAGAGCGTCGACCTCTACCACTGACAGGGCTCGTCTAATGATGAGGCGTCGTATTAGTCAGCTGAAAGAGCAAATGAAAGGATAATAAATACCGTGCGCCACTTGTTGCTCTTATTTCGCGGGGATCGAAGACTATTCGAGTACCCTGGAATTTCGAGAAACCCTCGCGACCAGAATCCTTCCCCCTAGGTGGGGTGCAAACTGGGTTGTGAAATGGAACAATTAATTTTGTTATTCCGGCAATCGAGTGACAGATCGTCAAGGATGCAAGAAATAATAATTTTCTTCAATTAAAGGAATTTCTATGATTGCTGGCTTTAATAATCGTTGGACTGATTGTTAATTAGGAAACAGTTTCATTACCGCAGGGGAGAAATTAGATTTTTCGAAGAGTCCACGTTTTATTGCTCCCCTCGGTTGTATTATACTGCCAAGTTTTAATTAAAGAATTTTAATCCAAGTTATGCAGCACGGTGTCGTAAAATCTGCAAATAAGCAGAAAATGTACACCTCGATATACAGGGTGGGTGAAAAGTATCTGGATTTTAATTATTTCCAAATATTCAGATGCATGATACAATTCAACAAATAGGGTCTGTCGAAGATATTGATTACTACTTCCATAAAAATTGTATAAATAGTGAGAGCAAATGGATTTCAATATACAGAGTGCACTAAAAGTAACGACCATCATTTCCATCAATATTTTCCGAACACTGGAATCTAACTTCATCGACAGTGACGACGTTCACTTGCATTAATATTATACAAATACTGAGAGCTAATATACCTTATTATACAGGGTGTGCTAAATGTAAGGACTCTCACATCCATCAAGATTGTTTAAATACTTGAAGCTAATATTACCAGAAGTAAGAACTTCCGCTTCCATCAATGTTTTCCAAATACTCAAAGCCAATTTGCTTCAATATACAAGGTGTACCGAATGTAACGACTTCCACTTCCATCAAGATCGTCTAAATATTGCGAGCCAATTTTACCAGAAAAGTAACGATTCCCACTTCCATTAATATTTTTCAACTACTGAGAGCTATATACAGGGTGTGCCCTAAAGTAACGACTCCCATTGAACATCTCCAGCTTCTCGAGAAGCCAAGCTACTGAATTTCGCGTCAAGATACCTCGTTAAATATAATTTCTGTCGAGAGAGGTAGGGGGACATCCAGCACGACAAGGATTTTCTCTTGTAACACGGATCCCGTTCGATCCTATGCAGGCGCGGAGATAACACGGGGCTCGTTAGCCGCCGCTAATTTCCACCGGCGAACCGAAACGAGCCTCGGTTGCTCCGGGCCACGGGACCGCCGGTAATGGACTCGTCCCGGTGCACTTCCGGTTATTATCGTGCTTCCTGCGAAGCTCACCGACGGGCTCCTAGGTGGATCCCGTGGCTCGGTTATCTCGATTTCTGCAATTGTCGATATCGCCGCCGCTTATCTTCCGTTCCTACAGGGTGGACGATCCTGGGGACACTAGGGCACCACGGGTTAAGCCACCGACTGGAGTCTTCGATGCCACTTTAATTGCGGCCATTAGTGTCTATCGGGCTCGAGCATCGTTTGTCCCCGCGAGTTGCTCCAAAACACGGAACTCTTCGAGTCTAGGAAGACTGTTTTCGTAGGGATCAGTGCTCGAACTTTGGATATGTAGACAAATGCTTTTCTGAAGTGACAACCATAGGAATGGATCGTGTTGAATTTCCTGATTCGAAGATGAAGAGTTTTATGGGTCATAAGCAGAGAGTATTTTGTGAATTTTTTAAAGTAGGAAGTATTATGATTTATGGACAATTCTGTAAAGTGGAAACTATGACATTGTAGATTCTGTCGAATTAGGAATTTTTTGGATGCATTGTTCGGATATTCGACTAAATATCCTCTTCGAAGTTCTAAAATATTCCAAGCGCCATTCAGTTTGGTGACGATCCAGGGTTCGTAATGATTTAAGGGGATCCTCCAAGTTCCATCCGTTCCAACAACCGGTCGAAATTTCTAAAGTTCCGTCTGTTCACCGAAATATTCCCAGACTCGCGTCAGCCTCCATTGTTCCCAACCCATTGTCCTCTCTGGTGACCCAATGAATCACCTGGCAACCGTCGATCGAACAGGTGCGATCGGAATAATCCAGGGCCAGCGATCGTAAATTATTCCCGGCCGTTTACGTTCCGTGACAAGCGATTATCACATACAGGATGGTCGACGACAAAATGGCGGACACCAAGATGGCTGACAAGATGGACGACCAGATTTCTACATGCCATGAAAAATCGAATCGAAAGCTTCGTTGCTGTCCTCGCAAACAATTTCCAAGTCGTCGCCTTAGAAGGCAGGATCGATCGTCCATTTCGGTCCGAGCGTTGGTAAACTCGTCCCGATTCCCCGGAGGATTCGTGTTCGCGTCGTTCAGCTAGCGACGCTCGGCAAGATGGCGTCCCAGCTCCGTAGAAACTTCTCGCAAGTTCCCTCGGGGGGACGAGTCCGCCTCTCGATTCCGTTTCTTCATCCTAATCAGCCGCAGAAGCTCGAGAGCTCTCGCGCGTCTATTCGTCTGGGGAGTTTGGCTCCTCGCAGACCTCGACACGGAGAAATCTTAGATTAGACTAAAACCGAAGTGAAAACTGCTTCTCTGATATGCTTAAACATTTATACGCATTGAAAATTTATCAACCGATGATTCGTGGATTTGAAAGTTTAAATCCGAAGGGGGAAATTTTCGACGGCCGCCATCTTGAAAGTGAAACTTTCGATAGTCGCCATCTTGGAAACGAATCTTTCAGCGGCAGCCATCTTGAAAGTGAATCTTTCAACAGTCCCAATCTTAAAAGAGCGTTAGAGATATTTTCTGTGAAGAATGTTCTTCGACGAGAATTTCCTCTCAGCCGAATCAGATTCGTGGGTGGACAACGTGTTGCGTTTCTCATCGTTACGTATTCACACGCGGAATATTTACGTATCGGCGTGTAATGGCCGCAGGTACGCATATTGACCGCGCCCCGTGCCAGAGATTTAACGTCCTAAGCGCGCGAACGGCTCGCCATACATATTCAGGGGGCCTAATAATTGGAAGTTAATACAGCCGTGGCGGCATTATTTCAGCGGAACGGTCGCGAATCCGTGAATTACCGGATCGGTTTGTTCCATTATTCGCTACGAATCCGCTTTTGACCCCGAGGTTATCTCGTATGAAGCTGGATGAAAATTAAACCTGAACCCAAACATCCTCTAAGAAACAGACCATGCTAAAAACTGGCCAGAAGCGTAAAATTAACGAAACCACTTGCTAAAATAAATCTATAACCACAATTAACAATATCCCCCCCCCCCAAAAAAAAGAAAAAAAAAACAAAATTTACACATCTAGACATTGACCGGAAGAGGAGGATCGACGTCCACTGGAAGTTAATTAAGAAAGTACATAGACCTTGGTACTTTTATTTAAAAAAAAAAAAAAACATGGTCCAAGAGGTTGCTCACAGGAAACGTTCAGGACAATTCCGAAACGGCGTCGTTCTCGAGAGCAGACGGATCGCAAGAACGTCTAATGGCGTCGTCGGGGATGATAACGCCCGGCCGTATTTACGGTACTGAGGCAGACGGTAATTATTATCGCAGGAAATGGCGCGGTATGCCAAGGCAGGGGAGGGGGGATAATCACGGGAATCCCGGGGCACAGAATAAAATCCGCCGCGGCATTAAACCGCGTCGGATCCTTTTCCTTTCGCCGTGAGCCGTAATCAGAGAGCGTTAAGGGCGAACGAGAGCAATTTTCCCGGCGGAGAACCACCGTCCCCCGTCTTATTGCGCCGTCGTGTCTCTCGAGCACGTCCACGGATCGACTCGAAATCCCTTTGAAACGGAAAGAGGCTTCACGGGTTATTGCATCTTCGTCCCACACTTCCGGTTCTGGAAATATTGACACCACCTCCCTGGGTCCTGGGCTAACCCCTAATACCCTATTTCGTGAAACTTAGGTTTCTTTCTGGATAGGTGTTTTTTTTCAGTATTCTTACCTTCGATCAGCTGATCCAACATGGCGTAGATGTGAGAGGTTGCCTCGTCGGTCATCACCCAGCCTCCGGTGGTCATCTCCAGTCTGCCATCTTTCACCAGCCTCTTTACTACCATCTTCTTTGTGGGGTGAGCGCTACGATAAAAGATATCACCATTGATTTGGGTTGGGTCTAAATTGGATCTCGGTTTGACCCCTGAACTTCAGTCTCTGACTCAGGCAGGTTCATGTTAGGGGATGGATAACTCTGATTACTATTGTTCCCAGCGATTACAGGAAACTAGAAGTTTGGGTCAGGTCCCAATCCTCTATTTAGGGCCGCACTATCGAGTACTCTAACAATAAGAACTTAAGGGGACCGTTGCAGGTCTAAGTTATATCTTTGGTTTAAGTTTAGGTCTGGGACTTAAGTTTAGGTTTGGGGTCTAAGTTTAAGCCTTGGATTTAAGTTTGGTTTTTGGGTTTAACTTTGGCTCTTGGACCCAACTCTAAGCCTTGGATATAACTCTAGGCCTTGGGCCTAAGTTTGGGCCTTAGATTTAAGTACAGGCTTTGGGTTTAAGTTTAGGCCTTGGTCCTAAGTTTGGGTCTCAGATCTAACTTTAGGCCTTGAGTCTAAGTAAGATCCTTAAGTTCCAAGTTTCAGTCTAGGGTCCAAGTTAGGTCTTGGGTCTAAGGTAGGCCTTGGGTCGAAGTTGCAAAGCAGCCTGTGTGAAACTGTAATCGCAGATGGAAAAGAAGGCGGGAAAAACAATGGCCTGAAAGTGCGGATAATCCAGTTCTTGAGGGACTCGGGAGGTCGGTCGAAAAGGCGGAAACAGAAGCGGACCGGAATTCATTGGTGGTTTACGAGCGACACACACAGGACACGGAAACGCAACAGTACGGCTCGGATCACGTAAATCCCGCGCAGCGGGGAACGCGCCGGGCAATAAATATGATTTGTATCGCGGATTGTATCGTACGAAATTACAAGTTGCCCCGTTACACGTTACCGCGGCCGGCTATCTGCGATGTAACTCACAATTACGCGGCCTCTATATCACTCCGCCAACCTGCTAAGATATTCGCGTTTAACCCCTTTACTGCCTGAATTATATTCCAAGAAAAGCCCTTCCCCATTTCCCTGATCACGCTACTTACTTCCTTTGATACATAACATTCGAATTCAACATGAAAATTTCGATTGTTATTTATAGGAAGATCTACAGTTTCATAAATATAACATCAGTGAGTGAGGTTAAGACAAATAGAAAATTGTTCTGTTGTCGAACGATACTCGAGTGTTACTTTTCCTAGTGTTCTATCAGAATGGAAGCTATCTCGTCCCGGCCTCTTCACGAGCTCCCTTTACGCCCCGCGATACTTCCTCATCTTTATCCCCCTCTGTTTTCTCTCGATCGTTAAAAAAGGACGTTCCTGTTCCAGGGAAGGTCTTAACTGCTCCTTCGGGCTGGCCCATCCCGACCGCTATCTGCCCGGCCTAATGGCCCGTTTTACGAGCCTCGTCTTCGAGGGGACATACTCCCATCGCTACCATAAAAACGGGACCGAAGGTTGGTCGACAATTTTTGTTCGGTCACCGACATTATTAAAAATCTTTCTCTTTCCAACATCGAGGGACAGGTTATGGCTGGGTCACGGACAACCCGTGGAGTCGCTAAATCGTCACTGACGTGTCGATATTAAAAGCAAAGAGGTAATCCTAAGTCTAGACTAGGAAATTCTAGAAATTAGATTCCTCGGGGACTAGATTAATCCACGGAAACCTATGGCTGGGTCACGGACAACCCGTGGAGTCGCTAAATCGTCACTGACGTGTCGATATTAAAAGCAAAGAGGCAATCCTAAGTCTAGACTAGGAAATTCTAGAAATTAGATTCCTTGGGGACTAGATTAATCCACGGAAACCTATGGCTGAGTCATTGGTGACCCGTCGATGAACAGACAGTTACCGAACTGTTCATCGAATATAGATTCAGATCTGTGATATTTTGTCATGGATCACGACTAACCCGAAGACCGGCTGCGAGGTATACTGAGAAAGGATGCTCACCTCTCCCACCATAGAGACAGGAAGGACACCTCGCTCCAGATAAAGGTCATGTTTGGCCATTGTTGCAGCTTCGCGACCATGTTGTTCAGGATGCTCCTGGTGGAGCTGTGGAAATACTGCTCGAACGTCTTCAGCCATCCTGGGTCCGTGTGACTGTGAGGCACCAGAATCACCTGCGCAATCGAAATAAATGGCTTCATTTGTCGTATGGCTGATTAGAACTGTGGGTGATGTATTGGTGGGTCTAGATAGGGTCAAAGATTAGGGAAAAAGTCCCTCGGGTACGATCAATCCTCCAGAACAATGATGCCCGTGTGTCGATAGACTATAGAGTCGGCAAAGTTAATATAGTCAATAGAATTCCCTGGGTCGACAGATTCGATAGACCCAACAAAGTTTATAGACTCAATAAGACTTTATAGAGTAGACAGAGTCGATAGATTCGATAAGATTTGATAGAGTTAATAGAGTAGAGTCAATGTAATCGATACAGTCGACGAGCAATAGGCATCGGTAAGGTAAGCCTAAGCCGCAGAGCTTAACTCGGACATCACTGATCTAAGTAACGACTTCTCCAGAATTACATTCCATCGCGAGTTCTTGACAAACAACAGTGTCCCATCACGGTTCACGTAGACTTAAATCGAACAAAGACCGACAGATCACTTCAGCGGTTCTCAACCAACCGGTGGGCCTGACAGCGGAAATTCGTTAATTAGGCTGCACCATGCTCGCCGCGATAACGACGTTACTTCGTAATTGATACACTGCCGAATGGGGCGGGTAATGCGGCCGCAGGCCGGCCAACATTGCTCGTAAAACAATTTGCGGGACTCATTACGATTTACCATCGGTCCGCCGGCCGACTGGTTACGGGCGACTGACTTGATTGTGGCTCCCCCTGACCCCTGAATCCTACGGAAAAAATCTTTCGATCTTCACTTAATTTTTTCATTACAAAGTGGCTAATTTTTCAATCATCATTTTAGGATCGATCCTCCATCTGTGGGAGAACACAGTTCCATAACCCGCGTCTCAAATTCCTCGAGATCGATCGAAACGACGATGAAAATTCATACGGGTCCAATTTCCCTGGTACGCCGGTTACTACCGTGTTTTCCTCCCTTTTATGAATATTTAACGCCTCTGATCTTTGAAGCTAACTCCAAGCCCGATAGTAGAAAGAAAAAAATTGGCAAGAAAAGTGGCGGTCGACGGAGAACCGCTGCGACAAAGGATTACAATAAACCGATATCCGTTCGTTCATAATCAGAGCCGGCAGCCACGGCATGTTAAACCGCGCATAGTTCATCGACGAATCCGTATTATGCACCGATACCCCCCACCACCGAGGTTTGTTACCGGACCACAATGGAACCCTGAACTTCTGGACGGATCGATGGTTGCGGATTGTTTCGGAGGGAACCCATTCAGTCGCTCATGAACTCTGTGTCGAACGAACACCTCGAATTCCGCCGTTTCTCTTTGCGTTTCTACGGTATTACCTCGATAATTGATCAAGGCACACTTCACCGATCAATCGAACCTTTGAGTCGCATGTTTACGCGGAGTGTCACGAACACGATGGACTAGTAGAGAGGTGTTGCCGTACTAAGTCCCGAGTTCCTTCGCATTTCTTCGGTACTGCCTCGATAGTTGATCGACAGTACATTTCACTAACTAATTCGAACTTTGAATCGAGGTCTGCATAAGTTGAGTGTTGAAGTTGGGGAATATCGATGGACTAGTAGAGAGGCACTACCGTACAATGTTTCAGAATTGCTAGTATCGAGCGGCTTGGAACGAAGGCGTAAATGATCCCAACCGTGGTGACAGTACAGCACTGCAATCGTCGTCTGTACAGGGTACCGGATTCTGAATACGGGTCACGTGATGCAATCGTCGCTCGGAAAGGGTGGCGTTAATTACAGAACGGTCATCTCTCGCGTTTAATAAACCAGTAGCCAGCAAAAGCTGTCGGACGATGGGGGAGCGGGGGTGGCTGATTCGTATGCATGAGACGATCGCGGTCCGGATCGGAGCGTCCCTTTAATACACCACCCCTCCACCCCTGTTCCTTCAACCCTTCGACCCCTGAAACAGTATGATCCGTAGTTTGCCTCGACAACTTCGTCGGCTGCTTTCTACAATCACAGTTGGAGAATATGTAATCTGACACCTCCTGTGCCTACGGCAGAGTCACCGGCGACTCATCCTTTCAAACAATCACTGAATTATTTTTTCCCACGACCTCCACAGTCCAGAGACAGAAGATCAACGAAACCAGACAATTTTAATAAGCGCGTCACTTCAACTTGGTCTGAGAGGTCGGAGCTGCAAGTGGAAGCAGAAACGGAGGATGAAATGGGGTAAGTGCGCCCCCCGGTCCGCGACCGTTCTCCATTACATTTATCCAGTAGGGCAACCATGGGCGACATTTTTCCAAGGTAGAACCAGTCTTTACGAGGGCCGCGCCTATAACCATGAGAGACGTCTTCCAACGTATGATCCCTAGCGCGATGTCTCCCCAGGTGAGCATACCGTAGCACCATTTTACACCGGGGGATCCTACTGGCGATATGCTTCGTTGAAAGCTGACTTTAATCGAGATAAGAAACGCCCTATATCGAAACAGAAGCGGTCTTCGACTACCGTAACCAGCCAGGGCAACACTGGGAGCTGGGCCCATTTTAGGGTATGGGACGTGTGGGTATCGTCGGGAGCGACCGTCCGTCGTGGAATCCCTGGCATTGTCCGTAGCGTCGCGCGTTTTCGCAAAAGGCCAGCCCACACCATTGTGCACCCGGACGACAATGGCCTGATGAGCTGGTATTGTCGAACTCGTCGAACTCTACTCGATGAAAGGGACCGAACTCCTCGGGGATACGACCAGCACGGTATTTTGCTCTCTCTATCTCTGGTCCGGGAACCACTTTCTGGCTTCCCGTCTAAATATTTGTCGGCGGTAAATCGGTCGTTCCAGGATCGAAGCTATCCTCTGCACACCTTCAGTTGCTTCCTTGGACCTCTCGCAGGCAAACTTCTCTCTCCATGGGCGGGGGACGATACTACCATCGTCGTTGAACAGATCCCAGCGCGGAGTAGCTATTTTCTCGTTAGAGTTTTTCGGATAATGAGGTGGGGAAGGAGACTCGCGGCTGGCTGACCCCGAAGATCAACCGGGAGGAGGTACGTTTCTTCGTTATACTATCCAGCCAAGTTTCTTCGCCGCGGTTATCTATATCCAGGAGAAGAGGGAGCAGTATCATCTTGTTAGAGGAGATTGGAGAATATTGGCGTGTTTATGGGGCTCGGCCGCCGCGGGAGGTCGCGAAGATAAGGTGGGCAGGATAGAAGCTCTGGTCGGTTCTAACTATTAATGTTGACAGATTGTCGAACAAACTGGTAAGAGAACAACTGTGGTCTGTTTGATGTAGTTAGACCTCCATTGAGATTACCGACAATCGTAGTCAGGCTGTAAGTAGTATCAGCAAAATATCGGACTAAGAATGTCAAGTAGTAACAAATTGTAATAATGACGAATGAGCAGGATGTACTCACGATCAGTGACTAATCAGACACCTGGATCGAGTAGCAACAGTGGAAAATATCTCGAACGAGGGTTCAAGTGTACAGGTCGATGAATAGTGCTCCAAGTAGTAACACTCAACGAGTGGTCCGAAGAAGACGTGAAGTAGTAATAGTAAATAGATAATCTCCACTAGTATTGGTGAATCAGCTGTCAGACGAGAACGTTACGTAGTGCAGACCACTGTATGCTGATGAGTACACTGACCATTACCTGAATCGACAAGGTAACAAAAGACTATTGGTCTCCTCGATGTGGTTCGACCTCCCAGTATCATCAGCCCATGGATTCAATCGAGTAGACCTGGAAACAGGCTCGCTTTCACCGGTGCCTGGCAACGGCAGCCGGCACAGACGTTCGCTGGCTAATTAAGCCGACGTATCCGAGGCATTTCAGAGATTCGTTAACGAAGTTTCGCCCTCCATCTCACGGTTGTGATCCGCCTTGAGGCTTCAGGAATCACGTGCACAGCTCGATCCTCCATTGAGCCGGTTGCTTCTCGTCTCTGTAGTCGCGTCTTTCCATCCGTCGAACCCATCAGCCACGGTACCCCTTCATTAGGCAGATCGGATTTATTACGCTATCGAGGTTCCCTGGCTGACATGTTTCAGCCTTCTTTCAACTGGACTGTTTAGCTCCGTTCCGGACGCGACAGTTTGCTTCGATCGATCGTGAATACAAGGGATGCTAAATCCCTCAATCGTCGGAGCTCAGGTTAAATAGGCTCAACAGAACGAATGAATTTAGCAAGTAATTGGACTGATCTATTATTTGGTCAGAGCTGGGAGGAGATCACAGATTCAGAAAACGATCACAAAGCATGTTGTGTCCCTGGTTTTCAGGCAAGCCTTTGCAATACAGTCCCATTTTCCTTCACAAGGCCACCGATAGGAATTTGTCATCAAAGCTCGCCTACTTCCTCCTCCCACGAGCTCAACCCCACGGTCGTTTGCTGATGTATTCGACCCGTGAAAAATCAACGAAGCTTTCGATAATGATCTCAGACAAGCCCAGCAAAGTATTTTGACTACTAGACACTAGACAAAATTTTCCATAATGCAATGAACGGAACTGGAGATCATTGCTTGGTAATATTTTTCGAATATACGTGAAATTCTACCTTCAAAGGTGGCCTCGTTGGATCCTTCCTGAGCTCAGCGTATCTGGCCTCGAAACTGTCGTCCCAGTACTCCCTGCTTCTCATCCAGGACGGCTGTAACAGAAAAAGAACGGGTACTTGTTAATTTCCCTGATTAACAGTGGGCAGTTACTACTTGCTACCGTAGTCTGACCAATCATTGACTCTTACCACCTGGTATTCCGATCTGACAAACCATTTAGTATCCCCACTTGATACCCTGGCCTGACCATGTATTGACGTTTACTACTCGATATCCTAGTCTGACCGTTCATTGACCGTTACTACTTACAAACTGTGATTAATAGATAAGCCGTGAGACCTGTTGTCGCCACATAAGGTCCGAAACGCTCGTTTTGGCCGATGAACGAGTACACGAACGAGGCGCCACCGACGAGTTTCCGAAGCATTGGCTCGGTTTATCAGGTTCACCCTCACCGTCATTTATCAGGGTCGTTCAGGCAGGGAGCGACGCCAATCTAAGGTGAAAAAACTGTCGCGAAATGCAAATGCCGCGAGCCAGGGTGGGAGAATGGCGTTTTTTTTTTTTTTTTTAATTAATAATTAATCACCGTGCCGGATAAGCGACCGGGTGGAAAACGCTTTTCGCGCGTACGACGACGCCGTGTAACTTCCATCGTGCGATTCAGGCTGGTTCGATGCTGCTGAGTAATAGAATTCGCGGACGGCGATAAGAACGCGGTTATTAACGGGTGGGAGGGTGTGAACGTAACGTATCGTTCGCTCGACTATTCAGCCCTAGCACCATACGGCCGATTATTAAAGAAGATTGCCGCTTGGGAAGACTTCGTGGCGCTAGGGTGAGGATTTTCTGTTCGAAACGACGTCGACGTCACAGTGAATGCAGAACGGATAATAGACGGTGGTACAACTTAGCGAAACGATCGATTCTAAGAGGGAACAGTGTTAGACGGCGAATGGGACGGAAGTAGTGGATCACCAGTGATCAATATAACAGGCGGATTGTGTAATAATAGTAGAAGAATTGTCGGGATAATGATGAGGTCAATGAATCAGGTCGATGAATCGTGAGACGAGAATATTAAGTAGTATAAATCGATAAACGGTGAAACGGGGGATATTAGTAGTACAAGTCAACGAAAGGTAGGCCAGTAAAAAATTTGTCTAAGATCGCGTATCAAATACCATTAATATAAAACATTGTCGAAGATGGATCTCCCCATAGATCCCTCAAGGATAGAAGTGCTATTTCATTTTCAAGCGACTTGATATGTCTAGAGAGCCTCGAGAATTCGATCCCAGTATCGGAACGTTCGAAAATTGGTTGGCAATTCGCCCTCCATTAGCTTGGAAGAGAGGACGGTGGCGTCGAAAGAGGAACTCCAGTCCCTAGGGGTACGAAGGGATGATCGGTCGCCGATGAACGGGCCGACGAAAGGGAAAGGATCGAGTAACGAGGGACAGTAGAACGTTCAAAGAACTGGGCGAACGAAAACCATTTAGGGTAGCTGGGAGAGAATCGACTGAAGCTCTATGGAAAATTTACACCAACGTCGATTGTCTCCTCGATCATACACAGGGTGTTCCAATATTCTAAGCTTCTGGAGTTATGTCCGCATACTTTAAGACGCTCTGTACCAGGCTTTGTACCAAGGAGAATAGGTATACACCATGAACCCATTCCACGTCAATCACGCGTCGGGAACAAAGGAATGCTTAGCGCACTGGATGTACACCCATTTGCCACCGATGTCGTAGACACGCTCTTCTACGTCTCCTTTGACGCTGTATAGGACGACAAGAGGGAAAACGGCGAATCATTGAGATCGGATTGCTATCAATCAACGGGGGAGAGAAGATCCTAGTAGAACTGGGTGCAGAAGACGTTGAGAGGGTGAGAAACTTCGTCGTCCTGTGAAAAAGGTCTTGAGATATCGTAAAAATCGCGAATTCATCCAACTCAAATTTCCATTACAGTCATTGAAATTCTCAGGCACTAACCTTCCTCTGAAAATACTGGGTAATCAATTTTATTTATGAATCCTTCATCCATTTTTACATCCTATAATTATTGAACTTTGGCAAAGAATTCAGAAGTCGGAAGAATTAGAGGAAAATATTAGGAGATACCCTAAGTGCTACTAAGACCACTAGTGCTACCAGTATGGACACAACTCGTAACCGAATACTACACAACATTTTATTCATGCATTTAGATACAGAAACTCATAGAGACTTGACTGAACCTTCAGTTTAACTAAAATTCACCCTTGTGTCGATCTATCGATCCCTTGACTTACCCACGCCCAAGTGTTTCGTTTAACAATTTCAATTCTTCATTCAGCCCTGTCACGAAAAATTGGAATATTCAGATGATCAGAAAACGGTACGTGAGGCTTGATAACAGGACACTTAAATGGAACGAGGATCATGGATTCTTGTTCCCCCAACGACGAAAACCTTTCGTTCATGGGTACCTTCCTTGAATCTAATATTTTCTGTGGCACGTGCAAATAATTATCGCTCTGTGCCGCTGTAGAAAATTCAATTTTCCCTTCCCTCTTCTTGTCTTCTCTTTTCCTGTCGGGCTGCGTGCCAAACGAGCCGCGGGAAGACACATTTCGTGCGGGGAAATATTTGCGCGCGCGCGATTCACTTCGCCCAGGTAGAATTAAAAAAAAAAAACAAAACAAACAAACGTCGGCTCCTTTAATTAAAAGGAGCCCCTGAGATAAACGAATAAACTCGCTTTAATTAAAAGAAAATCCACCCGGCGACTGTCCATTGTTTCATTCTCCCTCACCGAGCTTTTTTTCCATCCCCTAACCAAGGTAGCACCCGTTCCCTCCCCGTCGTTAAATATCTCCACCGGTTTGCTTACGAATCCTCCACCGAAATTGGTTTACAATTTTCCCCGGGGATGGAATCAGAAAAAAAACTCTTCGAAGTTTCTTCACAATGACGTGAATATTCTGGAAAAAAATTTTCCATGAAAAACGAACTCACGGTCCAACCCTCGCGTGCTTATGGCCGGGTCACCGAGGACCCGTTGGTAATTACAGTCATCTAACTGTTTACACAATAACGAAACAAATATTTCGAGATGTCGCTATGAGTCAAGTTTGACCCGGTCGCCGGCTTCGGCGGTACGTACTCCGAAGGTTAACTCGGTGGATTTCACAGAAGATCAATGGATAATTTTTTGTTTTGGGGGATCGATCGATCATCGGTCAGACGAGTTTTCCTCGCGACAGGGTTAAATCCACCTGACGTTAATTGAACAGCGAAGAGCCTAATCCTTTGGATCGTCTTTCATCGTGGATTATTCGACGGTGCTTCTTTCTTTCGGATCGATCCTTATACGTCGTCTTTATGGCGCCTTTCACGACATTAGAACCCCAGTTTCTGTCCAATAAATACGACGGATCTCGACGATACACCACGAAGACGACCACCATGAGTGAAAAGTCTCTTTCATCCTTTGCCAGTGAACGTTCTTTTTTTTTTTTAACACGACGCCTCGAACGGTAGCTCGATTCAGTTAGCCACTCGTCGAGCACGTCCACCGCATCGACCCAATTATTTACGCCTGGCTCGAGCGAGAGAGAAAAAAAGTGACGGAAGGGGGGATGGGGTTGCTACCCTTACGCTCTCTCGGCCGGACGGATCACTTTTGTTCTTCTTTTTACAGTCGGCCGGGAAAGACGAATCACGGGAAGAGTCGACGATTAATAATACTTTCCGCTTGACTCGACGATACACGGTGTTACTGTACCAGCTCGGACGTTTCAGCAGTTTAATCGGATAGAAATTTTTTTTTTGTATACTCAATTTTATACTGTTTCCTGAAGAAAATCACGGGGAATACAATCAGATAAGGGAACCAAAAAAGAATTTACAGAAAGAACGCCACTACAGAATCTTTAAAGCGAGGTAGGGTGGATTTCAAGTAGTATAGCCGTACGATAATTCTGACGAGCAGTCTTACTACTGGAATTCTTCTATTCCTGTGTTCGATGATTCGTCGCACGGCGAACAAAACGAACTCGAAACTGGTCGAATCGAATCGGAACGACGTTCGGAACGGCCCCGGGATTAAAGGTAATCGCGTATCGAGCACGGTTACGTACGCGTAATGCGTCCTAATGGGCGGACCGGGTCCTGTGTAAATTACTTTATCCGAAAATACGGGACGAAATTGCGGGGACGCATTATCGCGCGATGCGTCATCACGGACCCGCGATCCATACATCGCGAGGCGGAATGAAATTTACGACGGCCGTTATAATGCGTATTCCGGGTGGCGAGGCGTGCGTGGGGAAGGGAGGGGGGCGGAGGGTGGGCGGTGCTCGCGGGGCTGGAAACAGAGACGCGTTTTGCGCGACGACGGGGCGAATAAATTGCGTTTGCGGCGTATCCGCCGACGTTCCGTCGCCGGCGTAATTGCTTGTCCCGTCGCGCTTGGAAATTCACCGGAAGGATCGACTGGCTCGGCCTCTGGTATCTCCCTTTTCTATTTTTTTTTTTTTCAATTCTGCGCGGATACATTCGAGGGGATCTCTTTTTACGCAAATTTTCGTTAAAAAAATCTGATTGAATTCGGGATCCCAAAGGTCCGAGGTTCGGGATCCAAGGGGACCAGAGTTCAGGATCCAAGGGGTCCAGAGTTCAAGGTCCAAAGGATCCAAACATCATAATCGGAGGGGTCCAAAGGATCCAATGTTCAGGGCCCAAGACGTCCAAAATTCAGTATCCAACGATTACGGACCTAAGGACGGAAAGTTCAGAGTTGACAATCCAGAGCGTTCTAAAGTTCAGAGTTCCTAAATCAAAAGTTTTCAGAATCCTAAACCACAGAGTTCGCAAGCTTAAGATAGAGTTCCCAACATCCAGCTCGTAAATCACCGCTCCCTGAAATCAGGAACTCATCTACACCGATCTGTAAGCTGTAATTCTTCTCTCTTAGTGAGACCCGCTGGGCTGGACTGTGTCGGGGTCATAAAAATCGAACACACACGTGAAACATTAACGACCGTGCGAACGGACGCAGCGTTTCTGCCGGGTCAATGGAGAGGAAACGCCCGATAGTCCAC